GAAATGTAGACATTGTACGTCATCTTGTAATTGACAAACACTGTGATGTTAATGCTAAAGGGAGGTTTGGCTATACACCATTACATTATGCATGTGAAAAGGGTCACTTCGAAATTGTTAAAATTTTGACTAATCATCCACAATGTAACATTGAAGCTGAAGATGAGAATAATGATAGGCCAATACATCTAGCATTAAGTGGTAAAACTCACATGAACATCGTAAATTATCTTGTTGAAGTTAAAGGTTGCAATACTCAGGGCATAACAACTTATGATATGAAAGTTAGTAGTTATCTTCATATTCATCAATCCAGTGGTATAGCATTATTACGTGTTGTTAAGTGTATATTGACAGGTCCTCCTGGTGCTGGTAAGAGTACATTAAAGAAGAGACTCCTCAATCAATCTCTTGATACAGGTCCTTCTCTTAGTACTGGTGTAATTGATGCAGCTGTACAAGTTAATTCATTTCGTAAACTATCACAGCACAATGCAGTAGTGACTACAGAATGGAAGGAACAGGAACTTGATGAAGAAGCTGTACTGATCACGAAAAAACTATTACCAGCAGACAATACATCAGATGAAAGTACTAGACCTACTGGATCTCATCAGTCTACTTTATCATGTGAAGATACAGAAACTTTATCATTTGAAAACCAATCAAGATCACCAGAAGAAATAGGCCTATCTGGTCAACATGATAATACAGGTGATACATCTTCACCTACTTTCATGCACTCTGAAGCAAATGATGCTGCAAATTATAATGAAGAGAGCTCAGATATGGAGCATGAGAATATAGATGATTCATACGGAGCACCTGTCAATTGCGAGGAAGAAGAAGCCAGAACTGGTACTGAAGTGCAAAATAGCAACAGTTCAGTAGTAAAAGGATTTTCAGAATATGTAATGAAGATACCTGCTAAAAAAAGACAAGAGTATGAGAGGAAGTTTGAAGCAAAAGATGACAATCACACAATGTTACACATCATTGATACTGGAGGACAACCTGAGTTTCATGAAATATTACCAGCTCTTATAACTGGCCCAGCTATCAATCTACTGGTATTCAAACTAACTGAAGATTTAAGGAGTCGCTATGAAATAATCTATCGAACCTCTGCTGGTGATTCTAAACCTTATGAAACCTCATTGACACATGAAGAAGTGATATTTCGTTCACTAGCAAGCATAGCTTGTTTAAGACAGAACACTATTGGATGGAGTTTTGATGAAACACCTATTGAAGATAAGTCAGAAC